GAGCAGGGAGCCCGATGCGGGACTCGATCCCAGGACCCTGGGATCATGACCTGAGCTGAAGGCAGCCGCTTAACCGACTGAGCCACCCAGGCACCCAAATGGAGAAACTTCTTATGTAATGTGTATAGAGTTTAAGGGAAGAGCATTCTCCTTGGTACCTATCCTTAAAAAAAAAAAAAAATTGAAGTTCAATTTTTGAACTTCTTGAACTCAAGAAGTTCAAGTTTGCAATGATGTTAGATGCTTCTGACCTTCATTAATAGTTTGTGTTGCATGTTGCCGGGTACCTGACATTAAGTAATTTGTCTTCCATCATTTGGTACTTAGAGCCAGCTGTCATTTTTAGAGTTTTTCAGGTTGAGAATGCAGACCATGGTTTATCAAAATGTGTTTGAGTAGGTGCTTCTTTTTGTCCCCAGAGTTGGCAATGACGAGAACATATCAAACACCTGGAAATTCCTGTCTCATTCAACAGACTCACTAAATAAAATCAGCAAGGTCAATGAGTCAACAGAGTCACTAACTGACGAGGGTAAGAGGAAATGATGGCCGTGTCTTATACGCATCTGTGGAGACTGGGTGCCGTTCCCTGAATATAATTGTTAATGGAATAATAGTACCTGCCTCTTCCTTACTCCTGTGAAGGTTCTCTGACCTGTCTCTAAAACATCAAACGCTTTATAATGAATTGGTAATCAGACTTATCCAGTTGTTAGGTAGTTGTCCGTTGAGGGATGTCATTGACTTTCATGTGGTCATTCTCTAGTACAAACACTTGTCCTTCATCTGGACTTCTGGTACGTGGTCAGTTGTAGCTCTCTCGGCAGGTTGTAAGCCTACTGTCTTCAACGAGTAAAGTTACCAGGTCCTTCTCAATTCCTTATTCACATAGGAATCCTGAATCTCAGTCACATTTATGTGATATTTATCGCTCTTTTCCAGAGTTGTGAATGTGGAGTGTGTCACTCCCAAACAGGAAGTGATTTTTCTCTGGTACTAGACTATGCGTTCTGGGAATATTCCCTGTGTCAATGCCATGTTTATGTCTTATGAAGTTATCACCTGAGGAGAGTCCAGTGTAGGCTTTCTAGAGCTCACAGACCCCAGATTCTGATCTTGATCTTTTGATATTTTGAGGAGTAGGTACAGACATGAATGAAGGACAGCTAATGGGGGACTTCGAGATGGAATCCAAACAACTAGAAGCCGAGTCCTGGAGTCGCATAGTGGACAGCAAGTTTCTGAAACAGCAAAAGAAAGATGTGGTCAAACGGCAAGAAGTGATTTATGGTGAGACTCTCCATTTGCTCTGCTAATACTTGGTTTGCATTGTGCAGCATTTTTTATCGGGAATCACTAGACCATGGAAAGCCAATTTTCAAGTATGTAGCATGTCAGAGATTTTCTTTAAAAACTTTGAGGTCTAGAGACAGGATCTTATATCTATCCTTTTCTCTTTAAAATTGTTTCCTTTAATTTTATTGAACGTTTTATTGACTGTGAGTGCTTATTTACGCAGCCGCCCTAGAGAGAGATCTCTTGTGACGGTACAGTTTGATTCCTCAGCTACACTGGAAACCAAGCATGAGTCATTTCTAGGAAATGGGACACAGTAAATTCTGAAAGGCTCTGAATCCAACGAAGACCACTTGGGAAACCACCATTTAAGAGTGATGGATTCCAGTATGCTGTCAGAAAACAGTGTTAGGTCACGTGAAATAGAGGAATAAGATGAGAACACTTTAGGAGAAAGACAGCTGTTGACCTGGTTTTTAAGTTTAAATTGTGCTCTAAACAGCTTTAAGACTAAAGTGGGCTCTAAATGGCCACGGATGACCTTTGAAGGAGAACGCTTTAAAGGAACGTTCCTGACCGTTAAGCTTTGTCCTCCTTCAGAGTTGATGCAGACAGAGTTGCACCACATCCGGACGCTGAAGATCATGAGCGACGTGTACAGCCGGGGGATGATGACAGAGCTGCTTTTTGAGCAGCAGACGGTGGAGAAGCTCTTCCCCTGTTTGGATGAGCTGATCAGTATCCATAGCCAGTTCTTTCAGAGGATCCTGGAGCGGAAGAAGGAATCTCTGGTGGATAAAAGTGAAAAGAACTTTCTCATCAAGAGGATGGGAGATGTGCTTGTAAATCAGGTGAGCAATGAGAAGGATCTTTCCCAAAAAATGGGGTAAAAAGTGAAGCTTTAGGGTTCAGCAGCCACTCATTCACATCCTGGCTGTACTATTCGTTATGTTTGTAAGCTTAGGCAAGTTATTGAATCTCTCTGAGCATCCAGTTTCCTTTTCTGTAAATGAGGACAGATTTTCTCTAACACCGTGGTTTTTTTGTTTGTTTTGTTTTGTTTTTAAAGATTTTATTTATTTGAGAGAGGGCACAGGAGAGGGGGGAGGGTCAGAGGGAGAAGCAGGCTTCCCGCCGAGCAGGGAGCCCGATGCGGG